TGGTGATGGAGATGGTGATGGTGATGGTGATGGTAATGGTGATGGTGATGGTGATGATGATGGTGATGGTGATGATAATGGTGATGGTGATGGTGATGGTGATGATAATGGTGATGATGATGGTGATGGTGATGGTGATGGTGATGATAACGGTGATGGTGATGGTGATGGTGATGGTGATGATAATGGTGATGGTGACGGTGAGGGTGACTGTGACGATGACGGTGACGGTGACCCAGAACAATAACAATAACAATAATAATATTAATAACAGAATAGACTTTATTGACTTTTATACATACAATAAGTAAATACATTTCAAGTCCACACCAGGACAAACAACAGAAATAAATTCATCAGTACTGAAATAAGTTTGTCAACAGAAAATTTTTAGAAAAAGTGTAAAAAGATTTAATGGACATCAGTTTAACATTCTCGTGCACAAAAAATTTTGCAAATTTGTTATACAATCCTATCTCCAGTTTGTTATTTTTTGTCATATTTATTCGAGAGATAGGAACTATAAGGTCCCCACCACAAAACAGAAAAAGGAAGAAGGCTCATTTATAAGGATAAATGATAGGCAACACGCAATTTCAAAACGATTGGTACGCCACCATGCAGGCAGGTGGCAAAGTTCATGCGATGAGCGGGTTGCACTATATAATTTAAAGTTTCATTTATTTAATAAGTATAAAAATACATTTGCCACATATTACTTATTACTGAAGTAAATGCATTTTTTATACTTCTTATAATAGGGATGACGTGTTTGAAAAAGAAATATATGGTATTACAAAGTTTTTATTTAAAATGTAAAAATTAAACAAATATGTACAAAAATTCTGCACAATAACAATAACATTTATTCATGGCTGAAAGTTCTGGAGAGTATATTATACATATAGACATAACAGAAGGTATAACCTACGAATTATAAATATAATTTCCAATAAATAAAATATTTCTAACATCATTCAATGTTATTTTATTACTCTGTATCTACTAGACTTACCCAGTCTAATCCACCAAATAGTTACATCTCAATCTTCAGCCACTGCATTTAGATCATCGAATTTCTTTAAGCTGCCGAAAGCACAAACAAATTACCTCCTTTATAAAAGCAGTTTAGGGGCGAAAGACCTGCATAAACGTATCCAAGAAAATATCAGTAAAATTACTATGATTAAAATTTGGAGCAGTTAAACTTGTCCAATTCACTTGCTTTAAGAGTTCTAAAAATTTTATAGTATTTGTACTATTAATTATACGTTTAAATACATAATTACTAGCTTTGGAATTATTAATGCGTGTGTTATCCCTAAATCGCATAAAGACTCCTGCATGATCAGATATATCAATATCTTTAACTCCAGTCTCATAAGTATAAGTCAGAACATAAATTAGTGACTATATTATCCAAGCGAGACCTGGAATTAGATGTTACTCTAGTTGGAACGTTCATGCAAGAAAAAATTTTTTTAAATCGTAAACAATTTCAATTCCATACTGAATATGCGGTTCAACTAAGGGGTGATATACTATTTTTAACTGCAAAAAACTTTTGTCTTTTAAAAATAAAAGGTATGGACCGTAATCTTTTTACAACTTTATTTACATGAACATTCCATCGATACTTGTCAATTTCTATACCTAGGTAAGTTATGTTATCTGCTTTACTATTGTAAATTCTTTTTCTTCCATTTCAATTTTTTCATCTTCCAAGACATATTTGCTACTATTATTTTTGCAGATGAGCGGTAAGTACTTCGTTTTTTCAAATTGTAAGATACATTTAATCAAACCATGTTTTAATTTTTTTCAGATAATTTTTAACAACGTCTTGAATCTCTTGCCATGTGCTTCCTGTGTAGACTATCACTGTATCGCCCTGAGTATTGAGGGTAAATAAACTATTAATATATATATATAGAAAAAGGTATTGGGCTCAGGACCGTGCTCTATGGTATACTCCAAATTCTACTAGTTTAGACTCGCTTTTGCCTGTATCAATTTTATCAAATTGTTCGCTATTTGCCAAATAGTTTTTTATAAATATTATATATATAGTGCTATTTTTTTAAAACCTGACATAGGCCAACTTTTTTATTTGAAGTAATAGACTAATACTTCCAACTGCAAAGTTGTAGGAAGATTAAGAAAAATTTACAAATAATTCTTTCCGGTGTTGCCAGATTTCTGCAGTAGCTACAAATACGATATTTTTTTAAATGGCAACACCGTATTATTTTAACAAAATTTGACAAACCTTCAAATTCTAAATAAAAAATGTTGTGTCACATTTTCTTATTGGAGTAGCCGTTTTCGAACAATCAGCAAAAACAAGGAAAATAATCTGCAGTTACCAACTTAATTTTCTTAAATGGAAACCCATATTTTTTATGGCATTATCGACTTCTACGTGAAAAATTAACGGGACTTTGTGTAGAAAATCCCTATTAAAATATTGATAGTTTTCGAGATAATCAACTCTTATTTTTTTTCTTATGTTTTGTAAATTCTAGTAGTTAACATAATTATGATTGTATGACACCTAGAAATTATTTTTTTTCAGGAACTGTAGAGTCTTTCAAAAAACGTATCAAAAGTTGACCTGCGATATACAGCGGGCAAAAAAAATCGTGCCAAACCTGATAATTTGAAATTTGAAAAGTCTCGACTTTATTAAATAGAACACCCTATGTCTTATGATTTCATTAGATGCCTTTCTGTAGATACTACAATTTTTTAATAGCTTTCCCTATACCTAAGTTGCGTAGTTTTTGCAAAGAAACCATTTTTATGTAAAATACCGGATTAGCGCACGTTCCTTTGTCGGGAAAAATATTGTAATGCCATCTGAGGTGGCAAAATAGAATTTTTACAAGATCGAATATTGAGGGAGTCAAGAGCTTTCCAAGTCCGTTTACAATTTTTTTGAGAAACAATAAATTACAAGTACCCCTTTTTTTCTTGTCGTACCATAGAGACACAGTAATTTCGTAAATTTTTGTATTGTAACCAATCAGTGTGCTCGCGAGTACGTTTAAATTTTTGAAGTGCCTTATTTCTTTGTTTCATGATTAATTTTAAATTAGGAGTCAGCCAAGGAGCTCGAGGTTTAGTAACTCTTAATTTTCTTACAGGAGCGTGTTTGTCAAAAACACTAAAAATTTATTAAAAATCGAAATCTTTTTATCAAGATTATTTTCATAAATCATCTCAAACCAAGATACATTATACAAATCATTTAAAAAATCGTTCAAATTAAAGTACTTATAACAGCGGTATGAAATAATTTTAGGCACTATTTTATTATTAGTAAATTTTAGGTTACAAAATACCATTCTATGATCAGATATACCGTCAGCAGCAATTATTCCAAAAGATTCAACAATGTTAGTATTAGTAATAAACAACTCAATTATAGTACTAGAGGTACAAGTAATTGTTCTAGTGGCCTCATTAATAATCTGAGAAAAGTTCTAACGGATTGTGAACATTAAACAAATCTACATAAAAATCTCCAAGACAGACAATTTCATCAGCAATAGGACAAACTGTAGATAAAATATTATCAAAATCGTTAAAAAAATCATTAATGTTAGTTTTCGGTGGTCTGTAAAAAATTCCAACAGCTAGAGTAAAAGATGGCAATTTGATTAAAATATGTCGTCAAATGGTGGTTGAAAGAATATATTATATTGTAACGTTATTTATTATTTGTCCACATGGACTAATA